TTTTGCAGTTCACACGCCTTCATGTTTAACATCCCTGTGGCTTGAGTGTGGTTGAAGTTTAAAGGAGATTTAGAAGCGGGCCCCCATGGAAATGCGACGAGTGCACCATTTTGGGAAAAGACATTTTGGAAACCAACCCAGTGTGTTTGGTTTGAAGTGTCAGGTTCCATCATATTTGCCTGTAGTTCAGTCTGGAGTTGTTGTGTGCTTGACAGTTTCCTTGCGCGGCAATTCCACGGGGCAAATCAATTGCAACCAGGCATTTCATGGTCTTCATTTTGTGGTGCCGTTACAGTAGGCTTAAAGTAGATGGCACAAACATGCACAAACCCATAGACAATAAGTTTAATTGCATGGGAACGCATAGATACATGCCACAATGCTCTTGGCTCAGTTCCCAAGTGATTATCTATACTCTATACAGGGATTTGCCTACAGTCTTGAATGTCTTTGGAATGAAGCCCGGAGTTGTGAGGGAAGTACAAATCTCCTCTTGGGATTCCTGCGAAGAAACTGCTGATTCCTGCAGTTTCCGTATGCAGCTGGTCATGTCGTTTGGTAGTAAGTTGAAGAAACAAACACGATAGTCGAAGTCTCATTTGGTGGTACTTGACTTCTTTTTGTGGTTTCGGTTTCGCATGGTTTGTTAGTGATCAACGCATATCATTGCATATCAACACATACTTTAAACACATTTGGAATTACCTACAAACAAAACTAGGACATCAAGGGTTGTTTGCAGTGATCTTATGATATTTCATCGTAAAACAACATAAATAAATAACAAATACATATATATATATATAGCTATAATAAATGCCATCCATCTTTTTGCACGCTGAATTGGCCATCGTTCACTCGGCAGATTGGCCATTGGCTATTCAGATGTATTCTGTGTGTTCACGGGTGTGGCCCATGGCTGAGCGCCAGGAGTACAAGTCCATGAGCACGTTGGGACTTCCGTACATCACCTTGTCCACGGTCTTCAAGGCGAGTGGTGCGTGTTCGACCACTGAAATCAAGGGAGATTGGAGATCACGGTGGAAACGACAAGTTGGACTGTTGGGACTTCTTTCTTGGGTGAAAACACAGGACGTCGCAAGATACCATGTTTCCAACCGTCCAATGCGGCCAATCACCCGTCAAGTACGGTGCAAGATGGTTTTTGCAATTAAATTCATATATTCCTTGATTATATATGCTTACCCTCCACAAGAACAAACCGATCTATCAACGGTCAATCAACGTGGAACTTGGTCTTTCTCCGGCTCAGCGTGGCAAGACACAGTGGGACTGACCTGATGGTATTTCAAGGGGCGAAGTGACTCATCCGAAAAGCGGGACAGCAGAAGAGCTCAATTGGACCCTGTCAACCAGGTCGCACTTTCACCGTGCTCCTAGTAGTAAGGCCAGGAGCCCCTAGTAGCGTCGTTGCTCCT